AAATGAAAGAATGCTCTCTTACATTTTATCTGCAATGCTGGCATAGCTGTCCCCCGAAAGGTGTGGTTTGTTGCTTTTATCATTTTAGTTCTTTAGCCTACTTCTCTGTTTGTGAAGTTGAGTAGTTTTTCACTGACATAATATACAACGAGAATGTTAATGTTGCTGACGCATTTCATCATTAACAATACAAACATTGGATAAATCAGAAATACTGCACCTAATCACTACCTGCACGTCTTCCCCTCGCCAGGTCGATCAATCACGAAGCTAATGTCCTATGGTACAATGAAATAGGACTATGTTGTGTGTTACAGTTATGCTTTTTGAGAAACTTGTCCTAATACTTTTTGAAAATTGCTACTTTTAGAACAATTCCATAGAACAGTGTTAAAGAAAAATTGCATTTTTTGACACTTTTAAAACCCAGATTTTTTAAATAATTAAGAACAACAAAAAGTACCCCTTCATTAACTATATATGATTTTTTCAGCCTATGTCACCAGGCTAGATTTTGAGATATTGTATAATATCTGTGCCATAGGAACCTGTGGTAAAAGTGTTATAATAGTGTCAAAATGGCGACTTTCCACTAAAATACAACCATCAATTTCTCGAAAAAAAGGCTGGTGACCCCCAACTTTTTTAGGTCAATCTCCTTATATTACCTTGGAGTACATTTTATTGCAAAATGAATAAATTCTGGGTTTTTAAATTTATGAGTAGGCTTCTACCTTAATGGGATAAAAGCTAATGAAATAAAACAGTATTGTATTGTAACAACCTGTGTATTGAAAAGCTGTATGGGGAACAGTTACAAATAGCTACTAAGTATGGGCATTTAATTAATTTGCATTTTTAATTTAGCCTAGGATCATTCTTAGAAACCTAAATGTTACAGTTGCCATCCTTCCATATATATTTGTTTATTACTTCTTTTTATACAACAGAGTTAACTGAGGATGGTTTTGAACAACAGTTTCAAGTGAATTATCTGAGCCATTTACTTCTGACGTTACATTTAATGCCGATATTGATAGCATCAGGACCCGGAAGTAGGATTGTTAATGTTTCGTCGATGTCCTATCTCAGAGGGGAATTCGATTTGGGGAATATTCAGGGTCAGCAGTTGTATGACAGACTGAAATGTTATGGCAACTCAAAGCTATATCAGGTAATAAACAACTATACTGTCATGATTGGTGGTTGTTGTTGTTGTTGTTGTTGTTGTTGTTGTTGTACTATATTAGATGACATCAGGGTGGATGGCACATATCAACGGATTTCCTTATCTTTATGAAGTGCTTTTATTGTTAAGTGGTAGTGTTAGTTACTAACTTCAGAGATAACAAATAAGGTCACTTAAATACACAAAACGGGTTAAAACACCCATGCAAAATGGTGACTCATTCATCATTGGTTTCTATTTGTAAACAGTCACGTTCTCGTCATAGTTCAATAGACACAAATAGTAATGGTTACATGCCATCGAGAAACAATGATTTAACTGTCGCGAATTAGTGAGTTTCGAACATTCAAACTATTGCGGCGAGTACGCGTAGTTTTGGTATGGAACTCATACATTCTTTGTTTACATGAAAATCGAACACGCACTGCGCGACAACCACCGCCCTTTAATTGTAGTCAATGTGTTGCATATACTGCTTTTTTATACTTCGATCTCGTCTACTAGGCCATAACATGCATTCCAAATTCAAGACAGCTGTGGTACAGAAGACCACGTGACCATGATTTAATTAATTGATCTGATCGTAGAAATATCACTCTGCGTGGGAGTTTGACGTCAATTGCGCCGTAAACAACGTGTGTTACGTACAGATCAAACACGTGACTACTACGGCGCTTTTTCGTCATTTTTGGAGCTCGTTCGTTATAAAGAAACAATAAAAAAACATGGCCCCCTTCTTTTACACATCTGTGTACATATTTCTGTAGATTATGTCAATGTTTTGCTTGCAACGAAGACTGGACGATTCAGAGGTGACAGTGACGTCATTACATCCGGGTAGCGTGGATACAAACATCGCACAAAGCTTTCAAGATCATTGGTTTCAGTATATCTATAAAGGCTACAGGAATCTTGGTAAATACTTGAATAATAATTACAATGTTTTACATTAAAATACGTGTAGAAAAACAATTGAAAATATGCTAATTTGAATACAGAACAAATTTTCATACAATTTCGCGTTATGATGATGTTTCCGTTAACGGGACAGTACAGTACAGTACACACCTCGTATTGCCCTGTATGAAAAAAGAAAAATCTCGGAAACTTTTAAGCCTAGTTATAATTTTTGATAAAATTGGTCATAAATTGCATGACAATATTCATTAGTTTATTATTTACAATCATGAAGTTAATGTCCCATGGTACAATGAAATATCATTATTTTGTGTGTTACAGTTAAGTTTGAGAAACGTGTCCTAATATTTATTTTTAGAACAATTCCATAGAACACAATGTTACAGAAAAAATGCATTTTTTGACACTTTTTAAAACCCAGATTTTTTAAAAAATTCATAATAATAAAAAGTATTCCATCATCAACAATATACGATTTTTTCACATTATCTCTGCCATAGGAACCTATGGTAAAAGTGTTATAATAGTGTCAAAATGGCGACTTTCCACTGAAAAAACAGCAATCAAATTCTCGAAAAAAAGGCTGGTGACGCCCA